TTTTTTTTTTTTTTTTTTTTTTTTTTTTTTTTTTTTTTTTTTAAGGTCGTGGGTTCCAATCCCACACGAGCCAGTATTTTTTATTTTTATTTTTTTTATGGCAGTTTATTTGATGGTGGATGATGAGAGCAAACCTGGAGGTTGTGTGTTCGATTCCCACACGAACCATTTTTTTTTTCTTTTTTAAGGTTTGCAGGTGGATAAAGAATAGCAAACCTGGTGGTTGTGTGTACGAACCAATTTGTTTTTTGGTTTTTTTTTTGTTTTTTTTTCTGTTTTTTTTTTGTTATTTCATTTCACACTAATTTCATATTGAAATTGGTGTTTTGATGGTGATTTTTTTTTTCATTCAATGGGAATCCATATATTTTATATGAGAAGAATCTATGAATATTCAGCTTTCCGTTTACTGGGCGGGGGTGGGGGGAATGAACAACAAGATATTTGATTGGTGAACAGCCGAAATGGGAATCTAAAGCCAACAAAGTCGCTAGAGGTAAAAATGCAGCTACGCTGTGGGCGGTCAGCATAACACCAATCGAAAAGTGCAAAATGACGGTGACTTTTTCAAGCAATACAATTGAAACAAATACTAAAGCAATCAGAAAAGGATTGCCTTCCAATTACAGAAGGCAATACTAAAATCCGACAAGTATTTGCTGAGATATGACCTAAAACATCTAATGTCAGCGTGAAACACTTTTGCTAGGCTATTCTCGCTCTTAAACTTGCTTGAAAATGTTGCAAGAAAAACATGTCGTATTTTTGGAGCAATACATTATGGCTGATAATTTTACGTTACTTGGTCTGGTCGAGGTGTTTTCACTTTATTTGACAATAGACTGATATTATTTTCATTCACAATAGTGTAGTCGTAATATTACTAATACAAAAGTGTGAAATTCAAAAAGGGAAAAAAAGCAAAAATCTCTTGATTGATTTTAAAAGTAGTGTACATGCAAAAAGACTACATTATTCACTGTTTTAAGTTTATCTTATTTGTTTTTCATGGTTCGAATTTTGAATACGTCACAAGCTAATCAGTAGTTAATAAATCATTATTTTTATGAATGTTAGTTTGCACGAAATATATAAGAGGGCATAATTATGACAAAAAGGATAATTTTTAAAACTTTTTATGATGAGTATTTCAGTGGCAGATTCAAGGGGTCCAGCCGGCCCTCCATCCCTATTTCATTTTTTTTTCGAAATTAAAAAGTGGAGAAAAATGAAAATTATATTCCAAGTCTGAGAGTGCCATTTCCGACCAATTAGAGGTGCCATAATCATAAATTTTCTTACCTCAGCCCCAACCATGGTGGGGCTGAGGTCGTCTACACTCTTCATCTGTAAAGGTCCCTCTCTGGGCCCAGCTCTATTTCAAATTACTGGATCCGCCACTGGATATTTTAAAAATTTCGTATGGAAATAAATGTTAATTGCATTGCTTAAAATCAATTAAAATGCTATAGGCGCCAGAGCTTCTCGGGGACTTCGCCCCCTGGTACTCAACCAAGACTTTATTTTTCATTTCGTTCCCCCACCCCACTTTCAAACACGGATAGACGCCTTTGATTGTTTATTCCATCACGATAATAACAATTACCATTCAATAATAGTAGTAAGTATTATAGGCCTGAGCATTTTTTGCAAGTGTTTTTACACGCATGGAATATTCAGTACATTTCACTACAGGTTGGGCAAAATTGAACATAAAAGCCCCCTAACGTAAATCCAGGTACACAGTAGTTGAACCAACTTCAAAATACCACAAATACAAATTTGAGTGACGATATTTTATTGCTTTAGAAATGTGATTTAAAAATGTATATTGAATCACGCACTGAGTATTAAATATATTTTCACGACAGGTTGGGCAAAATACATATAGGCCCCCTAATTGGTTCTCCTGACGCAAATCCAGGTGTTGTCTATCGTCACGAAAAAAACATTTACCATTCAATAATAGAACAGTCATCGAAATACTTGCAGTGAATTGAATCTAAAATGTATTCATGATGTTATGAAGATCTAAAGTGTTTAAAACGTACACAATAATAGTTCAACCAACTTTGATACCACAAACACAAATGTGCATGATGATATTTTATTGCTTTAGAAATGTGATTTCAAAAAAGTAGTGCATCGTATACGTAAGGACTTGTTTATTGTTGTTTTTTTACTTGCAGCGTTTGGGAAATAGGTAATAGGTAAATGGTAATGAATATAGTCAATGTCAATGTAGTTTATTCAGTATATAAAGGCCATTGGCCCAAAAATACATAAATCCACTGCATATTATATATTTTCTTTTCTTATCTTATATGCTAATTGTACAAAATTAGTTAATTTAAACAAAAGCGATTGTTTCTTTGTTGACATTAGTTTGTTAAACTTAAAATCATTAGGATGTGATAAATAATAATTGGGTATTAAACGGTTTCTTAATTTTTTATATAGTGGACAAATTAAAATAAAATGAAATTCGTCTTCAACCTTTGTTAAATTGCATAATTTACAGATTCGTTCTTCTTTTTGTGTGTTTGACCATCTTCCTTTTTCAATTTGAAGGTCAAGAATTCCTAGTTTTAGTCTAGAAAACAGGCTTCTCTTTTTAAACTCAAGAACTACGATAGATAATTCTCGCAATATATGTTAGTTTTAAAAGAAGAAAAATAAGTCTTGAGGAAGAATTTATGTTTTCAATGATAATTTGACGTTCTATGTCTTTTAAGCGTAACTGAAGATTGTAAATAAATGATGTTTTATTAAGGACATTTTGAGAAAGCCAAACATTACCAGAGCCAATTGAATTAAAAATATTTTTAACATAATGTGTCCAACAAATTTCATTTCTTCCCGTTTGTCTTAATTAAAAAGAATAACATTGTGCTAATATACTGTTTGGATCAATTTCACAACTTATAGCATTAATAGAACATGATAAGCTTAAAGGAAATCTTCCAACTTCAGCCATAATAGCATGTTTTGGAGCAGTTTTCCTAACCCCAAGTATATATCTAATAAATAACAGGTGTGTTTGCTCAATAATATCAATATTTAATTTGAATATTCCCCAGATTTCACTTCCATACAATAGTATAGGTAGAATTTTAGTATCAAACATTTTGTTTAAAATATTAATTGAGAGTGTTCCATATCTATGTAAAATTGATTTCAGAGAAAACAATGCCTGTTTTGCTTGTATGCATGTTGTTTTCCAAACCTTTATTCCATTACCCAGAATAGCTAAACATGACTCCTAAATATTTGAATGTGTGGACTGTTCCGACTTTATTATTTTTATAAAACCATTTTTCTGTTTTTTTTCAAAATTCCTCCTCTTTTAAAAACTAAGGATTTTGTTTTATTAATATTTACTAATAGGCCCGAATTATCACAAAATAAAGCAAGTTTGTTTAGGAGACGTTGTAAACCAATAACTGAATCACTGATAAGTACAAGGTCATCGGCGTATATAATAAATGATTTAAATAAATATTACCAATTTGGATTTTTTTGTAAATTATCACAAGCGTTTAACTTACCTAAATGATTAATAAACAAATTAAATAAGAATGAGGACAGAGGAGATCCTTGCTGTAAGCCAATTTCACATTGAAAAGACTGAGTTAATTTATTTTGTAATTTAACATATGCAATTAATTTT